GAGCAACAGGGTAAATCAAGAGGGTAAGCCAAGGGATAAAAGGCAAGTAGCATTCCTTCTGCTGGGCCTTTTTTATCTGAACTGCTCCCAGGTGTCACCCACAGTTGAGGTGGATTGTCTAGCATCAATTAAGGCAATCAGGGTAGTTCTTCAGTTGAAGATTCTTATTGAGATGATTTTAATTTGTAGCAAGTTGATTTTAAATTCAACCATAAAAAGTGTGTGTGTGTGTATGCCTACACTTGTGGGGAACTAAGAGGACCATACACTATAACATAATCAATTAGTTCTCTCCTTTTTCAGTTAGTTGGTTACAGAGGGTCTAACTCTGGTTACCATGTTTGTGAAGCAAGTGCTTTTACCCACTGAGCCATTTCACTCCCTCTCTAATTTATTTTCTAACTGATGTATTAAATGAGAAAACAGAAGTGCAGAGGCATGAGACAAGTTGCCTAGGCTGAGTAACTACAGGAAAAAAGACCCAGAAACATAAACGTTTCTCTTATAAAATATCAAGCTCTTCCTGTGATATTTGGATTTCCTGTCATCTATGATATCAACTATTAAACATCACACATGGTATATTTTTATTTTTCTTAATTACAGTTTATTCACTTTGTATCTCCCCTGTACCTCCCTCCCTCCTCCCCTCCCCTCCTCCCCTCCCAACCCCACCCTCCCTCTTCCCCACCCGTGTCCCTCTCCCAATCCACTGAAAAGGGAGGTCCTCCTCCCCTTCCCTCTGATCCTAGTCTATCAGGTCTCATCAGGAGTGGCTGCATTGTCTTCTTCTGTGACCTGGTAAGGCTGCTCTCCCCTTGGGGGGGGGGAGGTGATCAAAAGATCATCCTGAGTGAGATTATCCCAGAATCATAAAGACACACATGGTATATCCTCACTCATAAGTGGATACTAGACATATAATATAGGATGAACATACTAAAATCAAGCTAATTGGGAAGGAGGACTCTGGCTAAAATCCTCAATCCCCATTCAAAAAGGCAAAGAGGATGGATATCAGAGGAGGGAGAAAACAGGGAACAGGACAGGAACCTGCCACAGAGGGCTCTACCCTGCAGGGTATCAAGGCAGATGTTGAGATTCATAGCCAAACTTTGGGCAGAGTACAAGGAATCTTATGAAAGAAGTGGAAGATAGTAAGACCTGGAGAGGACAGGAGCTCCCCGAGGACAGCGACAGATCCTAAAAGTTCGGGCACAGGGGTCTTTTCTGAAACTGATACTCCAGCCAAGGACCACTCATAGAGATGGCCTGGAACCCCTGCATGGAGGTAGCCTATGGCAGTTCAGAAAAGTGGCCTCCATAGTAATGGGGACAGGGACTGCCTCTGACAGGAACTGACTGGCCTATATTCTTACATAGCTTAATATATACCCCCTGTGCTTGCCAGCATGTAGTCTTAGCTTAAGGAAAAGTATGACCAGAATATATAATAAGAGGGGGCTGAAAAGAGGAAGCAGGAGGTGAGAAGACTGAAAAAGAAAAAGGCTCAGGTACTGGATGTGGATGTGGGGGAAAATATAGAATTGGCTAAGAAGAGGGTCGTACCTCCTCGGGCATGGAAAACTCGGACGTTGGGCACTGTGAATCCCTTTTGGGCAGTAGTATATATGCTACCTTGTGCTGTATAAAGATGGCATTCTGCAGAAGTAGGGGTGAAATTCTGAGAAACTAAACCAAAGGTACTTCTTTCTACCCAAGTTTCGGGGCTGCTTGCCTTTTAAAGGAATATTTTCTTTACAGTTCTGAATGTCAGGGGTCCTCACTTTAAAATAAAAACGAATGTACCCATAACATGAAATGGTGAACCACACGACCCCCAGAAGTTTACCCACTTCAGATGGAGGCCCTGCTCTACTCCACTCCTCGGTGCCCTCTAAACCCTCTCTGTTCCCTGTCTGGATGCCATCCTCTGAGTCAGATGTTAATTATGTCACTTCCTGCTTTAGAAATCCTGGTGAGTTATGGTCAAGTGCTAATGCTCATCATGCTGACTGAGGAATTGCAATTTATCATGATGGTTGAGAGACAGGAGAAAGAGTGGAGAGGAAGGAGAGGGTCTTTTTGAGAGTTTATGATCTTCTGGGTAAGTATTCACACAGTGCAGATAGGATGGGTTTGCAACAGGACACTCATTGTCACTGAGCCCAAAATAGCAAGTATAGAAGAGAAGGCTCAAATTAACTATCCTACAAGAAAGCAAGGATCCAAATCTAGAACAAGGAGTATTCTGTAGAATAACTCTCTTAGGCTGGGCCTGGTAGCCTGTAATCATAGGACTTGGAAGACTGAATCAGAAAAACTGCCATAAGTTTGAGGCCAACCTACCACATTGTTAGTGCCAAGCCAGCTAGTGCTACAAGGCTGTCTCAGAAATATAACACAAAACAAAATAGAACAAACAAAAACTCAAGCATCTCATCTCAATCCTTCTAACAAACTGATATCATAACTGGAATATTGGAGAAAAAAAGAGCCTTATGAAAAATAATCAGAAGTGGACAATTTTAACATTAGAATCAAGCAATAATGGTGTATCTTGATTGATAACACAGGACGGTGGTCCCATAAAATTACATTACATATGTGGTAGCCACTTCTGTTCCTGTGAGAACACTCTGACAATACCACAATGATGAAGCCAATCAATGGCACAGTTCTTAGAACACATTTTTCATTAAACCATAGACCTCCCATAGATTGGCTCACAAGGAAATGTAATTAAGCTAGAGTTATAAAGCTAGGAGTACATTTTTATGAATTTGAGATACACACTGAAATGTTTGTGGGTTTGAGGTCATAATAACTAGAATCTGCATTCATAGCTATCATAGTCCATCAAATAATTTTGAAGCAGAAGAAACAAATTTAACAAAATGTTGCTAGATGGGAGTTAATTGAATTTTTTATTTTATATTTTTTTCATAAGTTAAAAGTGTTTTTAGGATAATTTTTCAAAGGCATGGCTCTAAAATCTTGATGATGGTCAGAATCACATAAGGAACTCAATGAAAGACTCTAGGAGCTATGTAGTGGTCCTGGCCATTTCCATGGTTGATATATTTGGGGGTGGGTGGGAGTAGGGATCACACTCCATGGTTCCTGCCTTGTAACTTTTTCCCTAAACTGACTTATGGAAAAAAATTGTCTTTAAGACAAATCAAAGATCTACTATAATTTTACCCCTATTTGTGTTTTGGGCTGGCCATAAAGACCGTGTTTGCTATTAGTGCCTTTTCTTATTAATGTGATCAAATATCCAACAAGAAGCCACTTAAGTACTGCAGGGTTTATGTTGGCTTACAGTCTGAGAGGATACAGTCTATCATGGTAGGGAAGTCTGGTGCTCAGCTCACATTCTCCTTTTTATTCAGTTCAGGGCCTCAGTCCATGGATGGTTCACCTACACTTAGGGTGGGTCTTCTCATTTCCGTGAGCCCAGTCTAGAAACTCCCTCCCTAGCAGACATGATGAGAGATTCGTCTCCTAAATAATTCTAGAATCTGTTAAGTTGACAATCAGGTGTTAAACACTATATTCTCATCATAATCTCCTGATTATGTCCTGCTTCATGCCTGCAAGGAAAGAATGCTGTTCAGAAGTAAAGAATGTTAGGAATACACAGGCATTCCTGGGTCTTTCCACAACATCTGTTAATATTAGGTTGACTCTTTTGTCCCACCACAGATCTTCATGATTATCTTTGCTTTCATCATGCATATACAGTGAAGTATACATAAAACCTGGAGAGCAGGGTTCAAAATGCTTCCCTATAGCTAGACACATGGAGGTGAGTGAAGGCAGTCAGCCTAGAGAAGGCCTGAAAGGTCTACACTAGATACTGAGCTTATTGTTACTATTTATCTGTATCCATTGCAGTATTCTTCATAATGAAAGAATAAATATGCTTCTCTGACCTCAATGGCCACTGAACAAAATTAATCAAGTCTGAGGAGGGGGATCTATGGAAACCCTTATTTCTGTTGGGGCTTGGAACTGGCATGTAGTATGTGGGACTGAGTCCTGAACTTCAGTAATTTGATGCTGTCTTTGAATGGTGTCAGTACTGAGTCAGAGGACTCCACTGCAGAACTGAGAGCTCTTGTCACCTGGTGGAGATTGTCCCAGTGTTTTTGGGTGATCACAGAACCCTATGTGGATGATTACGGTAAAAGAGGCGAGCAGAGGAAAATACTTCATTTTCCACTGGGGAAGTTGATAACTCACCAGCTCTGGTGGTTATCATAGCCAGGCTAACTCATCTGCCCTTCCTGACTAAGGAAGCAACACACTAATCTTTCTCCTTCCTGATTTCCTTCTTCCCTGTCACTCTCTCCTTATTGTTTCATTTTTCTCTCAGCAGGAGTCTCCAGAGACCTGGTTCTGCACCTGAACAGGAGTGTGTTGGGAGAGAAGCTCTGCCACATCCATCTGGCTTCTGTGTCATTGCTATTAAACCCAAGGCCTGTGCTTGAGTACATGGCCTTATTCTCATGCACTGATCGATTCATGTGTGTGTACATATGTTCTTGTGTGTGGGCGCATGTTGTGCCACCACATCTGCCTTGCACATAGGTGATAGGGATTGAACTCAGCTCCTCATGCAGTAAGTGCTTATGGACCGAGCCATTTCTTCAACCTCCTGATTATGTTTCAGAAGTTATCTCTATTTCCATGGATAAGAGTTGACCCATGGTCCAGTATACATCAGTCTTCACATTTGAGCCTATCGTCTTCACTTAACTTTTTAAAATTTTATTTTTTATTAAAAATACAGTTTATTCACTCTGTATCCCAACTGTAGCCCCCTCCCTCAACCCCTCCCAATCCCACTCTCCCTCCCTATTCTCCACCCATGACCCTCCCCCAATCTACTGATAGGGGAGGTCCTCCTCCCCTTCCACCTGATCCTAGTCTATCAAGTCTCATCAGGAGTGAGCCCATCTTGTTGTAATGCTCATCAGTAGAAAACATCAGAATTTGTTCTTAAATAATTTATTTTTTAATGTTGCCTTTTGTGAAGTTACAGTTCTTTAAGACACTCTGAAGAAATCCAGAAAAGGTAGATTCTATCTTTTGAAAGACAACTAAATGTGCAAATTTCACATACTTTTTATAAGTATAAATAATTTTATGGTTTCACATTAAGAATGAAAATATCAATAGACACAAAATATCAAGCTATTAACTTTAAAAGAATTATATAAAAATGCTGCACTGTATCTGGAAAAGAAGGACAAAGACGTATGTCAGGGAAAGACACATGGCAGATATGGAAAGAAAAGTCTATGTAGAGTTATATATCATAGTCCTCTTGAGGTTCTGGGTTAGACTCCAAGATTTCCACTCTTACCTCTACAGAAATAATGTCCTTCCTTATATAAGACTAAAGCACACAGAGAAGCTGCAATCCAATGGCAGAGACCTCCTCATCCCCATGACTACTGTCTTTGCTATCCCAAGGCTAGAGTTCCTATCTAGTATCCCAGGGGTACAGAATTTGCTTAGTAAGTAAAGGTCACAAAAGGCCACATATTTCTGTGCCCCTGCTGTCCCTGCCACTCCATTTCTATCTTTTCTTCAAAGAGGTAGGATACTTAGAAGCATTTATAGAAGACAGACAACAATTTCTTCTTGTGCAGCTGGGGAGTCATATGAAGCATCAGACCCTGAAGGCTTTATTCATAAAGCAATCCCTTCTTTGCTAGGGAGGCAACAAGCACAGAGCAGGCAACTTCCCATCACATCCTGTGGCCAGGGACTTGCCAGGTTCCCAAAACACAGTGGAAAATAATTCCAAGAGAATACTGCCATTTAAATAACTTTGAAGTTCATAATAAATAAAGTAGAATGAGGATTCCCTTTAAGAAGGCAGCTCATTGAATTCACACAACAAGCTGTATAGACAGGGGCGACCTGACAACCAGAAAATAGGTTATTATTATTCAGTCTTCCTGACTGCCTCTAGGGAACCATTTTACTGTTTAAAAAATCCCTCATACATAATGATAAGGGTATGTTACATATATACACATTCTGATACACACCTCAGTCCAAACTCATCTCCTTGGAACTGAAGACAACAATGACCAATGGTGGCATGCCTTCCTACTAAGATGTTCTGCTGTCTAGAAGGTGCATACAGTCAAGAGCAGCTTGTTTTATCGCCGTGTGAACATGTTTCAGCAGCCTCAGGATCACAGTCTGTGTGTGGTTCTTTCCTGAAGGACCTTGGGAACTGAGTAGGCAGGTAGGGAAACCTACTGACTGCAGATGTGCTCTGCCGATGTCCATTTTCCCTGAGCTTTCTCCAGTATCCTGCGGGGGCCTTGGCACTCTGAGGATTCAACCTTGGCTCTCTGAGAAAAGTTTCCAGGGGGCAGTAAGATGGTTCCAGGCTCCATCCCACCTTTCTATATGTCTGTCTTTCTGTTTCCTAGCAGGCAGACATAGGAACTGCTACCAGTCCTATCATGCATTCTGTGTCTAGAGATCTCCACAGCCTCCTGGTAGATGAGCAGCAACAGCTTCAGGCTGAACCTAAACTGCCGGTCACAAGGTCTACTCTCAGCTCACCTGGGCAGAGTCTTGGTTACTAACCTGATGATCATGGCCATGATGAAGGAAGAGCTTATCTTGCCTCCTTTGCTCACAGACACTTGAAGCCACTGCCCCAGGGCCCACCCTTCCTGTGGCTGTCTGGGGTACAGCACCACTCTGGCTGGCAGTTTGAGGACCCGTCTTGTTGGGTCAATCTACTTGCTCACACTTAGCCATACATCTGCTTGAACTGGAAGCACTCGTTGCAGTAACCGTTACACTTGGCATTGCCGAAGTGATCACAAGCAGGGGCCCGGCAGCGCTGTTTAGGAGGCTCTTCAGGACTGGGCTCACCCCGGTGGGCCATAGGTCCCACTCGCTGGCTTAGGTGCTGGCACTCCATGCAGAGCTCCTCACTGCGACAGGCCAGGATGTTCTTGCAGGAAGCCCGGGCACACTTGGACCTTGAGGCTCCCTGTGTGGTTTGAGGCAAGTCTCTCCGCTGGCTGGATCTCTGAATGGGAAGATCAGAGAGAGAGAAAGGTGTTATATTTCTCAGGAGACCAGAGGGGGAATTTCAACTAACAGTAGGGATGAGAGAAGTGTGCAACTGAGGACCCAAAGCTCCCTACCAATCCCAGCAGAAGCTGACCACCCTCCAAGGGAAGGTTTGTCTTTCTTTTCTTTCTTTCTTTCTTTCTTTCTTTCTTTCTTTCTTTCTTTCTTTCTTTCTTTCTTTCTCTTTCTTTCTTTTTATTTTTATTTCTTTTTATTTTTTGGCAGTACACAGAAGCATCTGGGATCCTCCGGGAAAAGGATTATTTGAGAAATTGCTGCTCCTTCAAATCTAAAACGTTTCTTGATCCTTCCTGGCTTTTGGGTACTTGCTAAGGTTGCACTGTATGACTGACTATATTAGCTTTTCAGAGTAAATTCTAAATGAGCTTAGGCCATACAGTTTGTCCACCTCAGAAGCAAACAAAATGTGGCTATCTTTCCCAGGCTCTCTCCCAGCAGCCTTTTTAAAGGAGCCTTTGTCCTAAGGAGCCAGCCTGTCTGTCACAGACAAAGTGGCTGAAACCAGAGGGGGCACATTCCACCAAGTGTCTCACCAGTTGTTCTTCAGTCCTTTTTGCTTCATGAAATCTCTGGTTCTGAGCTTCAATGAAACACTTCTGACAGTAACCTTCAAACATGGTGCTTCCAAGTGTGCCACATTCCCTGCCCAGGCATGGTTTGTTGTTTTGGAACCTGGGGGCTTTCCCAGAGGCAGTGACAAACTCTGCAAAAGAGTGGATGCTATTCAGTATCACATCTGGATTACCATGCACATACAGACAAAAGAGAAGAAATGGGCTCTCAGCATAGATGATAACAGCCTTAAACATGTACTTGAGGTCAAACTTGCAATGAACATCTTTGGCTTTACTGATCTCACGGATCACCAATCAGTCAAAGAACAAAACAACAGGCATTAACTGTCTACTAGCTCTTTGAGTTAGAGCTTCCTAAGTTATAATGTTTACCTGGTGTTAGTAAATACTTCTTGTCTCTTGCTACCCCTCTATAGACCATTTCAGCAAAGTTGCTGAAGTCTGAACTATTCATGGATGGATATCCATAGCCTTAGTAAAACCAGCCCACAGTTTGGTGTGTCAGCACATGCCTAAAATCCTAGCCGTCAGGGCATAGGAGTAGATAGATTGCCAGAACCCTGAGGCCAGCCTGGGCTACATAATGGGTTTGTCTTGGGCTCATGCGAATTCCATCTATAGAGCACTTTTGATGTAGGGCACAAGGTGACTAGAACTGCTGCAATGAGATAGTGTCTACCGCTTTCAGGTATAACAGCAACAGTAACTGTCCCCAACTACCAACCTACGGAAAGGTGCAGTGAGGTGTAAATTCTCTGATGCTGAGGCTACTTTCTTGACATTCAAGGCCCTTTCTAGGCAGCAGCTACTGCAATAGGCAACTATGATTTCACTCACGTTTATTTTCTCTGTATTCGATGAAACACAGCGTGCAAAAGCCCTTTCTTTCTGGAGTCCCAAAATACATGCAGCCAGCTTTTCTGCACTTGCTTGTCCCCGTTCTGTCTCCTGGAGTTCGTGCTGCCTGGGAAAGGCAGCCAGAGGGGATGTCATTTCCAGTTTGGTGGCAAGAGTGTGGGGTGAGACTTTGGATGAGTTGTGAGGGGTCAGACTTGGAGCGTTGGTGACAGGAGGGAGGGACACTGGAAGTGAGGCTGGAGAAGGGCTCTGCTGTAGTCCTTTTGAAACAGGTACTGCAGATGCCATTAAATGTCCGAGTGACATCCTGATGGCAAGCTTGGCACTTACCAGGATCTGCAGTATGGCTGACATTAAGCTGCCGGGCATTGTGGCAATGCTCACAGAATCCATTATGCCGCACATTCAAGGTGAAAGGGCATCCAGGGCTCCTGCACTTCATTGCAGTGGTCTCGCTGAACAGAAAAAGGCTGGGTGCTGTGGGTGGGGCCGAATGAGGTCCTCCAGCTGCTTCTTCAGGGCTCCAACCCATGCCTGGGAGTCCTTCAGGGCCCAGCTTTGAGTTCAGCTTTGGGAGTTTGGTCTGGGTTTTTTGGTGCCTCTCTGAGCATTCATGGCATAAAGGCTGAGTGTTCACAGACATGAAGAAAGGACAGTTGGGTGTCTCACATTTTATATCCATGAGTGATAGCTGCGGTGTGGAAGGTTCCAAGGGGGTTTGTGCATGTGCCCCTCTCCTGCCCTCATCATTATTTTCCTGCCATTTCTTGTATTCATGTTGAACAAGTTCAAAGTAATCATCTACCAGATTTATTTCTTTGGGTAAGTTAGCTTCATCCAACCTAAAGGGCAAACAGGAAAATAAGTGGTGACCCCAAATAACACAATACTTTACATCATTAGCTCCTAGAACACATTTCCAGAATGCAGTCCACAGCAGTGACATCACAACCAGAGCCAAATGCAGGCTTATGACACAACGTAGTCAGTACACTTACTGTCATGTTCTCAGGTCAAGAAGGCAAATCAAAGGGAACTGCTTACTTTGCAGCACTGATAAGGTGAGTCGTGCCATGGTCCCAGCCTTGCACAGGAATTTCCATCACAATCAAGTACTCCTTTAGAAGCTTTTCCTTCATCTTGTTTTCAGGGTCTGTCAAAAAGTGAACTTTTAAGTCTTCAAATCTTCCCCGGTCTCTGTTAACAAGTGGAACAGCTCGGATTTCTGAAGGGAAAAAAAAAAAATGTGTGTGAGTAAAACATTATACTACTAAATGATGCTGCACATATTGATCATATAATGATTCAAATTTAAAGACACTGAAAGCATACAAAGAGTAGAAAAGTATCACCCAGTCACACTTAAGTCCAAACAAGAAAATAAACTGTGGTGAACTCTAACATAAAACAAGTTGTTTCCAGGGAGCTCACAGAATAACAAGGGACCTAGCACTAGCAGACTGCTTTTAAGCAGGGATCTTATTTGTGATTTTTGTATATTTGTTGTAGCCAAAAGGCTGAGAAGTGATTTTAGTTTTTTCTTAGAGTACAAAGATTCTGTCCTTTCTTTTGAAATAAACAAATGTAAATGGACTTTGGTGGAATTTGAGCTTTGATGTCCTCTCATTCCTCCCTTGCTGCTGTGCCCCTCCTTTCAAAATTGTCTGCCTTTTACTTTCATGTCTTTTATTCTGCACCCTTCAAATAAACATCTAGACTCCATATATGAGACAAGATATGTTTTTCCCCAAGTCTGTATTATTTGTTTAATGTGATTATCTTCTGTATTATCTTTTTCTGAGCAAATGACAAAATTTTCTTTTTTCTTATGGCCAAATAAAACTCCATTGTGTGGTGTGTGTATGTGTGTGTGTGTGTATGTGTGTGCGTGTGTGTGTGTGTGTGTGTATACATATATCACAGTTCATTCATCCATCCACCTGCTGATGGTCACCTAAGCTGATTTTGTCACCACAAAAAGGAGACAGTAGAAATGCCCTGCTTAAATTCTCATACCTCCCCGTCTGTTCTGAGTCAATGTCAAGCTAAGCATGTCATTTAACCTTTCTGAGTTTCCATGGCCTCATCATTAAATAGGACAACTCATGTCAATATCTCACAGGGATGCTATGAGAACGAAATGAAAGAATGTTGCTTAGAGTGCTTAGCACAATGCTTATTATACACTAAAGTATTATAATGATAGCTAGCCTGACAAACATCTACTTGCTCTGTGCTAAATATGAGACTGAGGCTCTGTGTACCTTAATTCATCATGTAGTAATAATAATAGGGGTAGAAGTATGCATACATGACTGTCCAACCTATGCTTATCATGCTGAAAGTAGTTCCTAATTCAAACTAAAAAGATGGGGGGGGGTATATTTACTGATACTACATTACTGTGCCAATGTGTATGACTCCAGTCTGAAAATCTCAAACTTATAAATCTGACTGGACTTGGGAGCATTCAGATTTCTGATTAGGGATGCTGAAATGGCAACATCTGTATAAACATTCAGGACATGTAAGACTCTGAAATCTGAAATGATATTGGTTACAATCATATCACATAAGGGATATTTAATCCTCCATGATTAAGCAAATGACAAAATAACAAACATAAATAAAACAATTTTAACTGGGAACAAAAGAACAAGCCTGGAACTCTAGGATCCAACAGGGTTATGAATATCAACTGATGTTTTCTTACCAGGTCCACTGTCCTTCAGGGTCACCAGGGGAACAAAGTGCTGGCTGTCATAGCCAAGGACGATGGGATATCTGTAACAGTCCTGCGCAGGCCAGTGGAGAGGCAGGTAAATCCCACCCATTTTCAAAGGAGCAAAATTGGAACCTGATTCCAAACTTCTTAGCATTTTGTCTGTTAATGCAAAGAGGAAACAAGATAAGACACTAAGATGAGGGTAACTTTCAAGGAGTCCCCTCCACTGTTAGCGGAGGGCTGCAGGGGAGTGCTGTTCATCCTCACAGCTGCAGTGAGCCTGGGGAGCAACAAGAAACTCTGAGGCAAGTCACCTGAAATGACAATGATGGGTCTTCTGAGGATGTTGCTGAGGACAAATATGTGGATTTCTTCCAGGGAATTATACTGAAGTCCACTTCGGGCAGCAGGCGTGTCTGCTGATGCCATTTTGACCAAGTTGTCCCATTCGTCATTCCAGTTCTAAGGGGAGAGAAAAAAAAAAGAGGAATAAAAGAATGGATTAACAAGTAACTCAGATGTCACTCTGTATTTGTACATGTAAACTCCATTCATTCTTCTCCTTCATTGAAAAAATCATTCAAATGTTTACCGTCTCCCCAATTTTGATTTTCTTCCTTTACTTTTTTCTATGCAGGGCAAACTCAAAGCTGCTGGGAGATACAGACAGCATTTGCTTTCAGAAAAATCCTCTTCTAGGGGTAAGGGAGTGGGGTAGGGTGCTGAGTATAGCTCAGTTGGGAAAGTGCTTGCCTAACGTGCATGGAGTCTTAGGTTTGACCCTTAGAACCACATAAAGGTGCATGCCTGAAATCCTAGCACTATGGAGGTGGAGGCAGAGAGATCATCGTCAGCCACACAGCAAGCTCATTTTCTGCTACATGGTGGGTTTAAGGACAGTCTGAGCTACATGATATATAGCTCAGAAAACAAACAAACAAACAAAAACCCACAAGACATTGAAGTACTTTCTTCCATTGTTTCAGAATCTTCCCAGCTTGTGACTGAAGATTACAAAGTACAATCTTCCCTAGACTGGCTGACTCAGCTGAGCCAGCAAAGTCAGGGAAGTGCTCAAGAAAAGGTAGGAAGACCTGTCATGACAAAGAGATGCACACCCAGGAATCTGCTGCTCCCCAAGCTGCAGGGCAGCGAGTGGCTAAAGCTCAGAATTAACCTCACAGAAGGTTCTTGGTGTTCTCCATTGAGCGGGTACTGCTTAGCGTAATTCATCTGACTACTAAATCATATGTTCCTCAGGGAACAGGGACTGGCCCACAGTATTCTTTGTCCACTATAGGGCTGTTGCACAAGAGCAAACCATACCCGAGTGTCATAGCAAAGTCCTGTTTCCACAAATTCCTGAGATTTGAGAGACTCCAGCTGCCAGCGGAATTTAAAGTTCCGTGTGTCCGTCTCCTTGAGGGTGCTGCAGAGGGCCTTCCTCAGGACCAAGTCAGTATCCTGAACACCCCACATGTACTGACAAGCTGCATGCATGAGGCAATTTCCATCACCTGAGGACAGAAGGGAGCGATGAAAAGCAAAGTTAAGCAGCCCAAAGTGACTGTCCTTTGACAGTTTTCAAGATAAATTAAGCCTACTGCTGGGAACGGCACTGTTGGTTCTTAATCAAGGGCCAGCTGATAAATAATCCATAAGAAAACTTTTTTTTGTTCTTTTGTTTATTGCATGGTACCAAAAGGAGGAGTCAGATGACTACCACTGTAGCATGGCTCTGCCCCTAAATGCTCTGGAAGACTTTGGGAACATTCCTGAAAGTCTCTTCTTTTCCATTTTGTGAAGCGGAGGGCACTGGCTTATGAACTCTATAGTTCTTTCTTCCTAGCAGTCTTTGGCTTGATGGCTAAGGCCCTGGTACTACTACTCTCTAGTTCTAAGGAAAATTTTACATCCAGGGCAACATACACACCCGGAAGCACTATGGCTACTAGATAGGGCCTATCTGGCTATGACTCAGTGATAAATGACTTGGCCATTCCACTTTAGCTTTCAGGACCTGGGAGTTTCCTCTTCTAGCTTATAAAGCAGGACTGACAGTCCAGTGAATTATGAGAACCTGCTTGTAAGCAATTGTAAAGCCCTTTTTAAAAGTGTTAAAAGGCAGGCAGGCATGATTGTGCATGTTTGTAATTCTAGCATTTGGAAGGCAAAAGCAGGAGGATTAGAAGTTCAAGGTCACCCTTAGCTACAGAGTGAATTGATTAATTAGCTTGGAGTACATGAGAAACTGTCTCAATCAGTCAATCAATTAAAAAACAATTAAAAATAAAAGTTATAAAGATGTTGACATTTAAAATGATTCAGTGTTTGGGGGTAGCACTTTGAGGAAAAGACATTAATTCTATTAATTTGTTACCTTTCCAGGATAAAAGCCATAATTCAACAGACTGTATTCTTTCAGTTTATACTTTTTTTTTTTTTTCCAGTTCTGGACACTGAACCCAGGGCCTCAGGAATGCTAGGCAAGGGCTCTAGCAGTGAGCTACATCCAGTCCCAGACTGAATTCTTTTCCATGTCCCAAACAGTAAACATTTGGGAGAATCATTTAATATAAAATAGTCAATTCTTCATTCTCCTTTGGAAAGCAATACATATTTTTAATTTTTGAAAAGCGTATGTGTGTCTGTGTGTGGGGTTTACATTATTCTATCAATAAAGGAATGAAGCTATTTGAAATTCCATCAAATCCTAATTATCGTGAAATGTAAACAACCTGTCAAATACATGTCCCGGATCAGTATTCCTTCAGTGTGCTTGCTTCACACAACTTGCTGAACTAATGAACAAAAAAGATTACTAGAGCCTAGTGCCTAGGCTGAGGTGTGGCAAGGACTGCATTCTGTTGAAATTTCCCCTTTGCAAAATCTAGAGCAAAGATAAGGCTTTTTTTTTTTCTTCTTCTTGGGCTTACTTTCAGTTCTTTATTGAGATGCACCAGTATAAAATTCCCTAAGTAACATGTGGAATTCCCCAGTGCGAAGATATTTGACTAGCAATTGAGCAACAGTTGTTGTACGTTTTGTTCTGGTGTGTAGACATTTACACTGCGAACTGCACCCTGGACTTTCCAAGTGGGTGTGGCCAGGCTGAGCTGGAACAGGGCTACTCACTATACAAGTGAAATTGCCGTGGCCAATAGTCGATGGAATTTTCATGAAGTTTCAATTTTATGCCACCTACTCCCTTCCTCATTCACCACAGTCTCATATCCTCAAACGCAGGCTTTTGAATCACCCCCTCCCCAAACAGACCTGCCTTTGAAGAAAACTTCTTGGAGGGGAAGGATTTTTTTTAAAAGGAAAGAGATGATGCTATAATAATCATTTGGGCAGAAAGGCACTTGTTCCCTCACTTCCTCACCTTAAAGGTCTTTTCTTTCTTTTTCATAATTTTAAGAACTTTTCCTCAAAGCAGGGAAATTAGGATTCTGAGGCCTCTAGATCCATATTTTCCCCCCAATATGCTACTAAAATATCTTTGCTTTTGTAGCTTTATTTGTAATGTGAATCCTTGCTGATTTGAATAGCAAAGAAATTGTTTAGCATATACATTGTATTTTTTTTCAGACAGGAAATTAGATATTTCCTCTGTTAATGAGATACTATATAATAGCTACTAATTCTGTGAGTGGCAAATAAAGACTTTTCTCTACTCCATTTCTAATTCTCTCAACTCCATCTCTCTTTTTGTAACAAAATGGGACACAGTAAAAACCACAAACTGTCAGGTATATAAGCCCCTTGATGAAAAGGTAACATAATTATCTACTTCTAGGCATCACTTGACTTAATGCCAAGAACAATGTAGATAATCACTGTCTCCAGTTTTCTCTCGACTCTATTTCTAAGAGTCTAAGCTTCATAAATATAGGGAAGATCTGCAGGTAATATATAAGAGTCCCCAGAATCAAAATAAACAAAACCCAACATCAACCCATCACGGAGCTACTCAAGTCAAGAACAGCCAAAGTTAATGTACCAATTAAGTTATTAAGCTAACATTCCTAGGACCAACTGCCAACAAGGATTTTCTACTCTTGGATGTATTATTTTGACCCAGATAATTTAGTCACTGATGTAAGAAAATGAAAAAAAAAATAGACATTATCCTTCCTAGTAAAAGAAAAGAAAGGAAGGAAGGGGAGGGAGGGAGGGAGGGAGGGAGGGAGGGAGGGAGGGAGGGAGGGACGGAGGGAGGAAGGAAGGAAGGAAGGAAGAAAGGAAGGAAGGAAGGAAGAAAGAAAATGAGATTGTGCTAGTACCTGTACTCTAAGTATTTAATTGATCTCATACACTCTGTTCTTACAATACTAAATGCCTACTACACCCTAAAGGCAGAATTCTGTAACTGCTGAAACAGTATCATTGGATGTTTCTGTCAATATTCTTATTCAAAGGACATGATTTTAAAAACTTGAAATAGAAAATAGTTATCAGTGGGAAAGTTCTTAATGTAAGAAAAGGCAGAAATCTGACTGTTTGATACAATAGGTGTAGATGCCCCTCGATGACAACATAATTATCTGCTTTTATACTTCACTTGATTTGATGCCAAGAACAGTGCTGAAAAGCTGTGCCTCTCATTTGCTTAGGCAACAGAACCTAGGTAAGGAAAGCAGAAACAAAAGCATACCCTGTCCTTAACATCACTTGTTTGTGAATCGAGAAAATGTCATCAACTCAGGAAGAGTAAGGACATCACCGCATTGTTTCTATTGACAGTGGCAAACAACTGCAATTCCAGTTTCAGTACTCTACTTTCCTTCCGAACTAAAAACCTTTTAAGGTCCTTCCATTCTGGCCAGTAAAGGACATTTTATAGATGATTAAGAAGATTAATCCCCTAACTGGGTCATGGGGTTTAGAAATGCATTCCACAAGACTTCATGCCCTCTGTACCCTAACACACACACACTTAGAAAACACCTTAAATAAAAACATTCACCAGCTGGCTGCAGTGACGTACACCTGTCCTCCCAGCACTAGGAGGATGGAAGCAGAAAGATCACAAGTTTGAAACCAGCCTGGGTTACACAATGAAATCCTACCTCCATACAACAGGAGATGCATCAAACACATTTACTGCTGTAACTTGTCCCTTACAGAGTTTCTACAGGCGTCTGTTTAATGCCATTAAAAAGAACTGCCAGAAACAGCCTCCTAGGCTGGAGGAAAAGAGCAAGCCTTACCATTGGTTTTCAGAGCCACAAGCTTCCTGACTTCGCGACACCAATTCAGCTTCTTCTGGCTTTCCAGGGAAGCCTGGACACTTCTGTCAATAAGTGCCTTGTGGATGATCTCCCGAAACTGTGGGCAAAACTGACATGTTCTGAACATCTCCAGCGTGTATCGGTGCATGGTTTTAAAATGATGAATGATCCCATTGGTAGGTTTGAAAATGTCTTCTGGGGTTCTCTCTCGTATCTTCACAGCTTTCCGCATATTGCTCAAATACAAAGCCTGAGGAAGGAGTTGTTCAGCCATGGTCCTTGACAAGGCCTGAAGAGGATGGGGAAAAGCCCATTCCGTTAGCCTGCCTTTAACACTGCTCCCATATACCTGTCTACAGGAAACCCCAGTGTTTGATCTTGTCATTACTCTAATCTGTAGGTAAAAGATCTTAGTCACCTCTACTCCTAGGACACTAGCTGGCCCTGAAGATTAACTCACACTGGACTGTTGTAAGTTACATCACTTTTAAAGATTAGTCTAAACAAGAGAAGGAAGGCGGAGCGTGGGTACTGAGGAGGAGGGGAATAACCCATGCTTTCAGTAACATTTGTCAGGGAGCCAAGTCTGTCTCTTAGCGACAGGTACTACTCCACAAAGCCAACCTCAGATCCCTCTGATGTCATTGATCAGAGTCCCAAGTCTAGACTGTTTTTGAAGACCACCACCATTCAATCCTTGCTCATGACCCAAGTCTAGATTCAGATCATTCAAACATCCCCTTCTTGATGCTCCAAAGACAGCAAATATTTTATGGAAATCCCATGTGGCATCTAGCCGCTGCCTGGTATTTCCTCTTTCATATTGGCCCCAAAGAAAAGTTATAAATACTTGGTTCAGAGAGTTTATGATATCCATAAGGAGTCAACACCAAGTTGTTTTAAAACCAACAACAAAATAAAACCTCTTTTTGACAAGATGCTTTGCAATCTTAAAAGTAAATAAATGTCAGCTTTACTTCAGACCCTGTGGCTGAACATGACACAAGACAAACGAGCTGAGTGACAATGAGGTACACCACACCTCCCAGACAAAAACAAAAACAAAAACAGATGCCAGAGAGCTCTGTGATTTCAACTCAAGAAAACCAACTATTATCGCTGCCCTTCCAGGTAGCAATGCTCAGAGACAGCTCCCCTCCTTCCTTCACCCTGAAAGACCAAGCAAGGGTGGAGGAAATGAAATCTGGAAGCAAATAGGAAAGATATCTTGGCTAGGGTACCACTCGGGACAAAGACAAGTAGCCCCATGACCATGCAGGCCAGTTGTGCAAGCATGTACACTGATGCACAGCGACACCCTTCCAGTGTGGAGCAACCGTGAGCCAGTTCTGCTTCACTGTCCCCGTGGACCCTCCAGAGGGCACTTGGCCACACATCCTAATTTCCTAGACGACAGCAATGATTTAGAGCACCTAGCAAGTTTTCAGAGCGAAGCTTAATATCATCCAGGCATCGCTATCCTCCAAGGCAAACTCACCAGATTAAAAAGGTGTTAAGATGAGGCAAGAGGGAGAAGAGATCTAGAGATTACACTCCCAGGTGGGGTCTGGGTTCTTTTAAGCCTGATACAGTGGTCTAAGTTGTTAAAGGGAATTTGCGTTGGAATTCTAAATGCTAGCTAAGGCCTAGAAATCATTCTCTGTGTCCTTGCAACTGAATTAGGCCGAAACAGATAGAATTAAACTAAACTACATACATACATACATACATACATACATACATAAACACATACATACATACATACATACATACATAAACACATACATCTCCTTGGCAATGGAGTAATGGTCTCTTTTACAATGTCATTACTCCATCCAGCCATCCAGCCATCCAGCCATCCACACAACCAGCAATGCCAGACTTACCATTTAAGGCCAATCCCTGTGCTTGATGCTATAGCTAAAAATGACTTCATTCCCAGCCTTGATAACACACAAACACCAGGTCTGCATCTAAGGCAATGAGGGTAAGATACATCTCACATCCAGCAGACACAAGGACTTAGCTTTGCCTAGAAGCCAAGTCTTCCTATTTCCAATACCCATCCCTTGCTAGTCTCCTAACAGCAGCCCTGAGGCACAGTGCTTGCAGCTCTCAGTAACAAACAAGAAGGCAGGAAGTGTTTTTATGACTATTCTGTTTTGCTCTTCTGGACCTAAAGATCTTTTAGTGTAAATTTAAAATGTGGGTGAGGGGTTCTCTAAACCATGTAAATATTTGCTAGCCTGCTGTGACCCCATCCTTAGACTCTGCCTCGCACTGCCTGCAAGGAGCCTATTTAAAACAAATCTAAACCACTACCCAAGTTTCCAGTTCTTGGATTTCCCCACATTTAGAGAATAAACTTTCCTGACATATTATTGTAATGTCTTATGGGTAAAAAAAAAAAAAAATTACACCATTACATTTTAAAAATATATTTGTTACCTCACTGCCTTACCGATAAATTTCCCAATTTTTGTCACTGGATCAATAAGATTCTACAGAACTTACTCATCAAAGTCTTTCCCCCAGTTTTATTTTTCCACTCCGAACAGATTTTCTTTTTTTGTCTGCGATGTGAAAACTTATGTATTATTTATCAACAGATACCTCAGGCAACTGTTGGGAAGTACCCCTTCAAAAAAAAAAAACCATAAAACGAATTACAAAAGGTCCAAGAAGCATCTCAGACAATGAGAATGGAGACCTGATTGGCTGCTCAATAATCTGGGACACCGTTGTACAGAAGACTAATTGACAATGACCAACTCCAAAAGGTGCCCCCCAAACAGACATTTGACCAGACTAGCTTTCCAAAGAAAGATCAGAGACCAGGAGAACTCAAAACAAAGCACGCTCCAAAAGGAGCTCTTCATACCTCAGCTTTCCTCAGAGTCCAGTGGCAGGATGTGGGACGACCCGGACTGACAACCCACACAGTCTGAGTGTGGGTCAGGGCTACAGGAGGGCGTCACTCGCCACCTGAAGTGGACTCCCAACAAGCAGGCTGGAGACCCATTTCTGGGTAGTAGAACATGCATACTTGTCTTATTCTGCTGCAATTAGGGGCCGAACTATCGCAGCACGCCCCGGACCCCCGAAACCCTCCTCCCATAGATCACCCTGTCTGAGGAAGCTGTCTCCCGAAAAGTTCCCTGATAGAAGCCTCCAAGTCGGCTTGGGGGGCCTCTGAGAAACCCATCAACTTGGGCTAGTTATGCACGACAGGCGATGAAACTCCAGCGCGGTTCTGCAAGGTCTACGTGCCTACGAGCATGCTGCGCTTGCTCTCCAAGAGGGGGGGAAAAAGAGGAAAAAGCAGCAAACGGCTCAGGAACACAGGACCTAGGTACCCACCCGAAGGGTGACTCCTCACCAGGCAGCTGCAGCTCAAGCCACCGTGCAGGATGGGGAAGGAACTAGTCTGCTGGAGAAACCCGGCGCTGTCACCTAAACACCCGGCGCCGGGTCCTCAGCTCTGGCCAACAAAACCCAGGCTCGGGGACCCCCGCGGGGCCAGGCCCCACGCGGGCTGGCCGCGCACCCCGCATCCTGCCGGCCGCGCACCCCGCATCCTGCCGGCCGCCGCTCACCTGCTGGGGCCGCGCGGAGCCGTCAGTCTGTGCGCGCGCCGCAGCCGAAGGTCGCGCTCCGGGTCGGGGTGGGGGTCGGTCCGAGGCGGAGCCCCATGGGCGCCCGCGCCGGCTCGCTGTCTGCCTGGGGGTGTGCACGGCTCCCGCCGCTCGCCGCTCCGCCTCCGGCTCCGAGGGCTGCAGACTGGGCAGTTCCCTTTTTTTGCCTTTCAGTTGTATGCCTCGCCACAGGGGATTTCCGAGGGACTTTCCAGTCACGTGACCCCCGCCTGGCCCGCAGCCGGCCGGCAGGGGGCGCTCGCCGCCGTCCGCCCCCCTCCCGGAGAAACTCCTAGGTCCCGCCCCGGGGTGTCCCCGCGTGAGTCACCTGGGCATTTCGGAAGCTGCCTTCCACGTCATATCCATGTGGAAATAGCGGTGGTGGGAACTGGAAATGCAATAGGTTCTTTTTTTGTAGCTTCTTTTCTGAAGAAAGTCAGCTGTGAAAAGGAAGGGAAATTAAAGAGAAAGAAAACCCTAAAAACCACCCGGACACACAGGACCTGAGGCCTGAAGCCGGCTTTGAGTCTGGCCTGGGCATGTGATGGGCACTTAAGAAAAAGCCCTTGGCAGGGCCCTGAAGGGAATTGAGACAAAAAGCGGCAGGGTTCTCCAAGCTCTCTGTGAGCTTCAGGCAGAGTGACATCAGACCTCATGCTCCAGCAGCTTTTGAATTACAGGGGGCAAGGTCAATTTCAGAGAGAATTAGATTTACACACACATACACACACCCTCCAACACTCCATTTCTCTTTTATCTCCGTGCTCCCAAGAAGCACATCAGTTTGGAAATCTCTTCAAGTTTATTGCTGGCTTTTCCCATCTGTCTACAGTTGTTAGTTGTTGTTTGGCTGGCCTGAGAACTAGTTCACCCCGAGAAGCCAACAGATAATCTTCCATGCAGCCCTGCTCCCCTATTGTGGCTCACAAAAATCACTGTACTTCTCTAGAAGGCAGAGGACTACGCTTCGTTTGGACAGAGAGGCTTGAGCCGTGCAGAGAGAGGCTGAAATGCTTTTACCATCTTGGAGTTTTTCTTCTAGGATCCCCTTGGCAGGATTCCTAGAAAAGAAAGCACAAACAGGCCAGAAACACCCCGTGTCATTGTGACTTTAGGCATGTTTGTCAGGTTGCCAAGCGGTGTAGCTCGCGTTTAGACTAGCAACATGCGCTCCTCGCCCCAGCAGTGACTGGGCTAGGTGACAGAGCGCGGTGCCACTTCTGGTTTGCAAAGGGAGGCTTGGAGCAAGACAAGAGTACTGGCCACGATCCCAAGACTGGTACAATTCTTTTTCAGCCAATGGCTACCCTCCCCATTTCTATTTAAAACCTGGTAGAATTTGTCCTCTTATTTACAGATGTTTTCAGCTGTGGACACTCAAACCATGGTCGTAATCTAAAATGACATTGCTGAAATATTTATTTTAGGTTCACATAAAGCTTTTATATGAAGTTTAGAACGCTTACGACACAGGCCCACAGTCTACATAGTAAGTGTCCTGGCAGCTTTTGGAACTGTGTCTGCCTTGCTCCAAAGCCCACATGAGAAGATTACCCACAAGACTATTTGAAGCCTAGGAATCCTTTGACAAGTACAGGAACATAGATAACCACAGTAGATGCAGGCTCCACTGTCAGGAAATCTCCCAGGCACACTGAGGTGACAAATTAAAAAAAAAAAAAAGAAAAAAGAAAAAGAAAAAGAAAAGATGCTAATAGAAAACAAACAGAACTAGCCAGCTCTCTGTTATCTCAGATGGCTCCTTAATTAGTCCAGCAGCTTCCATGTGCCCATTCTGACTCCATTTTGGCTCCCTGGTTCGCCGAGCTGGGGGTTCCATAAGGAAGAATAACAAACCTGGAAGGCCAGCTTCAAACCTGTAACTCCCATCGTCCCCACAGAACTGCTTCACCATCTTGCCTGCCAAGATTTGTGATTGGGCAGATGTAGGAGGTGCTCTGTAGCTTTTTCTATTTCCCACAGCTTAACTGTGCAGCTCACCAGTGCCCCCCCAGCCTCTCCAGCACCCCCACCCTCTCCAGCCTCCTCAGTCTCCCCAACCCCCCAACCTTCTCCAGCTTCCTCAGCCCCCCCAGCATCCCCTACTTTACCCAACCTCCCCAGCTCCCCAACTTCCCCCAGCCCCCAACCTTCCCCAGCCCCCCCCCCCCCCCCCCCCGCCCCAACCATGCCCTGTCTTTCTGGCTCAGAGAAAAAGGAGTGGAGGGCGTACTTCCTAGTTTTCAATGTCTTTTAGGGCACGATTTAGCTATACATTTAGCTTTCCCTTTCTGAATCCATGGACAAAACCAGTAAGAAGTGTCTTCTAGGTGAATCAGAAGAAAAAGGTAGCAAAGGGAGTGTAGGAGTGCCTCCTTTGGGAGAAAATAAAGACAACTAAAGTCTGGGGACATTTGATGAAGGCATTGAAACTAGTGAGAATCATAAGGTTTGAAAGAGCCTTCAGTTTCTGCTATATATCTTGTCAAGATGTTCAGGGCTCTGCAAAAAGGTAGGAATACGTAGGAAAAAAAGTAGTGGATTCAAAAAAGTCTCTTTAGTAGAAGAGAGAGGAATTGGAGGTGTACAGAACATTTCTGAGAATTGCTGAGTTCTCAGCCATTTTTACTGTGTGCCAGCATTCCTGTTATAACTGTTGTTCTCTAGAAACTGAACTGTGGGACTATTGAACCACACTTTGAAAGAGATGAAGATCCCTCAGTGGTCTGCTGTAACTCTGGGACTTGGGAGATGAACACAGGGGAATCAAGAGGCCAAGGCCATCCTTAGCTGCACAGTTAAAAGCCTGCCTGGGCTGCATAAGACCCTGCCTCAAACAAGCAAACAGTAACAACAAGCGCTCACAAAAACAAGGAAGAGCTGAAACCCAGTAAAGAAAAATAGACTCCAATTGGTGTGTATGCTCAACTCAAATGCCCTGAAGGGTCTTTCTTAATCAGAAGCCAGTGATGGCACCTGAGAGACTGTGGAATTCCAGAAGGTGGCAATCACAGATCCAAGGGAAATCAGACATTTTGGGCCCACAGTTGCCTTTTCCCTCTCTCCCAGCATTGTTCTCAAGTGAAAAGACAGATCCCCTAAAAACACATTCCAATGGCTTGATACAAGTCTGGTGGTTTACTTATTACATGGCGTCTTTGAATCCTGCATACCTGTAATCTCAGCCATCCAGACGGACATGAAACAGTTTGAAGCTGCTCTAGGCCTCATAGTAAGTATAAGGCAAGCCAGAGCTACAGACAAGGCTCTGCCTCTAAAATAAATGCATTAAATAAAGAGAATAAAGGAAAGTGTTTGTAATTTCAGGGCCATTACAAGGACTCCTTCTGAAAAGACAAGGGCAGTTCTCTGTGAGAATCGGGGGATATGACGTCATGGATTTCATTATCACAAGAATGCTGTCATCTTCTGAAATGCTCCCTCTTCCATAGGGACCTCAACTCCTTACAGGAATCCTGTAGGAAGAAACCCAAGACCCACTGCAGTGAAAGGCACCTGAGGTAATGCTGTGAGTCACTGGTCCCAGGAACCAGACCCTTCATCAAGGGAGGCAGCAGGTTTCATGGTAAGGGCAGCTCCTCTACTTCCAGGGGGCCTGAAACAGTGAGCTACTAGAATCACAAACTGCTCAGAAACCCATTCTGTGAATTCCAATTTAATTTACTGTCAGCATTTGGCTGAGTTACTTGGCAGAGTAATTTTATTTTGTATCACAAATGAAAAGACTCAATTCTTGATTTTCTTTCTGTTTCTATGTAGAGTTCTATTAATGAGTGACCATGAACAATTAGGAAAGGTTGGGCAATGGGTTCGTAGGAACTCACTGGTGTGTGCTGCTGGCTTAAACAGTAAGATGGCTATTAACTGAGGGAAATTATTTATTTCTAAGTATGTAAATAAGTGTTTTTCCACCCATTCATCCCCCAACACACACACACACACACACACACACACACACACATACACACACACACACACACACACACACACACACACACACACACACACACTTCATCTGCCCCTTAATCCCCTTGGATTAGTTTGGGTTTTCCATAGTGCTGCTTTGTTGCTACTCCAGTCTCCTTTACAGGTCATCTTCATAAAAAAGGATGTTGGCTTTAGTTCATTTGGGGACTTGTTTTCTGGGACTGACTGACAATGCAATTGATCCAGGTTCACTTATTTTCAAGCAAAGAGCAACGTGTTACCATGTTATATTTCTTGAGAAACATACCTATGGATGCCAAGACATCCCACAACGGAGTGGTGGAAGTCCCAAGCACTTTGGCAGCCTGGAGGAGAGTAGCTGGATGGGGAGATTCTGTACTTCCATCCTGAGAGCCCTTGTGTGGAAATCACAGTGTAGCTTCAGTAACAATGGGAAGAGCAACCTAATTGTACTAAATACAAACATGCCTTTCTTTCACTCACTGACAATAGAGTATATGTTTTGATGTTGCTGCATTCTTCCCCCTTCTTCATTGCTGTCCCATCCATGTTTGTTCCCAATGCTTTTGTGGGGTTATGAATCTTCTGAGCTGATCTTGGTCTGTAACAGGTACGCATGGCAATGGTTGAATAGGCTGTTGTAAGATCTGGCTCTTTGGATCTCTTATTTATAACCTCAGTATTGACCATGCCAATATATATGCACTTAAGCATTTCTCCAAGACCCAGCACAAGCAACCAGTCATCGAAATGTGCTGTTCAGTGACTGGTACCTATTCCAGCCTTGGAAGACAATTTGGTGCTGTCTAAGCCTGAGTCAAGGGGGATGGCTTATATCTCCATACTTGTTAATTTTTTTTTCATTGATGTGGAAAATTTTCTAGCAAAGCAATGTAAGGAAGGAAAGGTTTACCTTGGCTCACAGAATGAGGATTGTGATAAGGAAGTCATAAAGGAGAAATGTGAAGCTGGTTAAAAAGGGTTGGAGCCCCTTCCTAGCCCTGCTCTAAGCTTCATGCCCAATATTAAAAAGAAAATAGTGCGTTATGAAGAACCCAGAATATATGGTATTTCATAATAATAAACACTCAATGCAGTTTACAGAGCCGAAGTTCTGGGTTAATTCTTTAA